GTCAGTGTCTCCACCTACAGAACGCCATCACCACTACATGTCAGTGTCTCCACCTACAGACAACCATCACTACTACACTCAGTGTCTCCACCTACAGACCACCGTCACCACACTATGTCAGTGTATCCACCTACAGACCACCATCACCACACTTTGTCAGTGTCTGCACCCACAGACCAGCATCACCACACTTTGTCAGTGTCTGCACCTACAGACCACAATCACAACACTATGTCAGTGTCTGCACCTACAGACCACCATCACAATTACATGTCAGTGTCTCCACCTACAGAACGCCATCACCACTACATGTCAGTGTCTCCACCTACAGACAACTATCACTACTACACTCAGTGTCTCGACCTACAGACCACCGTCACCACACTATGTCAGTGTCTCCACCTACAGACCACCATCACCACACTTTGTCAGTGTCTGCACCTACAGACCACCGTCACCACACTATGTTTGTGTCTGCACCTACAGACCACCATCACTACTAGATTTGAGTGTATCCACCTACAGACAACCATCACCACTACATGTCAGTGTCTCCACCTACAGACAACCATCACTACTACACTCAGTGTCTCCACCGACAGACCACCGTCACCACACTATGTCAGTGTCTCCACCTACAGACCACCATCACCACACTTTGTCAGTGTCTGCACCTACAGACCACAATCACCACACTATGTCAGTGTCTGCACCTACAGACCACCATCACAATTACATGTCAGTGTCTCCACCTACAGAACGCCATCACCACTACATGTCAGTGTCTCCACCTACAGACAACCATCACTACTACACTCAGTGTCTCGACCTACAGACCACCGTCACCACACTATGTCAGTGTCTCCACCTACAGACCAACATCACCACACTTTGTCAGTGTCTCCACCTACAGACCACCGTCACCACACTTTGTCAGTGTCTCCACCTACAGACCACAATCACCACACTAAGTCAGTGTCTGCACCTACAGAACGCCATCACCACTACATGTCAGTGTCTCCACCTACAGACAACCATCACTACTACATGTCAGTGTCTCCACCTACAGACTACCATCACTACTACATGTCAGTGTCTCCACCTACAGACAACCATCACTACTACATGTTAGTGTCTCCACCTACTGACAACCATCACCACTACATGTCAGTGTCTCCACCTACAGACAACCATCACTACTACACTCAGTGTCTCCACCTACAGACCACCGTCACCACACTATGTCAGTGTCTCCACCTACAGACCACCGTCACCACACTTTGTCAGTGTCTGCACCTACAGACCACAGTCACCACACTATGTCAGTGTCTGCACCTACAGACCACCATCACAATTACATGTCAGTGTCTCCACCTACAGAACGCCATCACCACTACATGTCAGTGTCTCCACCTATAGACAACCATCACTACTACACTCAGTGTCTCCACCTACAGAGCACCGTCACCACACTATGTCAGTGTCTCCACCTACAGACCACCATCACCACACTTTGTCAGTGTCTGCACCCACAGACCAGCATCACCACACTTTGTCAGTGTCTGCACCTACAGACCACAATCACAACACTATGTCAGTGTCTGCACCTACAGACCACCATCACAATTACATGTCAGTGTCTCCACCTACAGAACGCCATCACCACTACATGTCAGTGTCTCCACCTACAGACAACTATCACTACTACACTCAGTGTCTCGACCTACAGACCACCGTCACCACACTATGTCAGTGTCTCCACCTACAGACCACCATCACCACACTTTGTCAGTGTCTGCACCTACAGACCACCGTCACCACACTATGTTAGTGTCTGCACCTACAGACCACCATCACTACTAGATTTGAGTGTATCCACCTACAGACAACCATCACCACTACATGTCAGTGTCTCCACCTACAGACAACCATCACCACTACATGTCAGTGTCTCCACCTACAGACCACCATCACCACACTTTGTCAGTGTCTGCACCTACAGACCACAATCACCACACTATGTCAGTGTCTGCACCTACAGACCACCATCACAATTACATGTCAGTGTCTCCACCTACAGAACGCCATCACCACTACATGTCAGTGTCTCCACCTACAGACAACCATCACTACTACACTCAGTGTCTCGACCTACAGACCACCGTCACCACACTATGTCAGTGTCTCCACCTACAGACCACCATCACCACACTTTGTCAGTGTCTCCACCTACAGACCACCGTCACCACACTTTGTCAGTGTCTGCACCTACAGACCACAATCACCACACTAAGTCAGTGTCTGCACCTACAGAACGCCATCACCACTACATGTCAGTGTCTCCACCTACAGACAACCATCACTACTACATGTCAGTGTCTCCACCTACAGACTACCATCACTACTACATGTCAGTGTCTCCACCTACAGACAACCATCACTACTACATGTCAGTGTCTCCACTTACTGACAACCATCACCACTACATGTCAGTGTCTCCACCTACAGACAACCATCACTACTACACTCAGTGTCTCCACCGACAGACCACCGTCACCACACTATGTCAGTGTCTCCACCTACAGACCACCATCACCACACTTTGTCAGTGTCTGGACCTACAGACCACAATCACCACACTATGTCAGTGTCTGCACCTACAGACCACCATCACTATTACATGTCAGTGTCTCCACCTACAGAACGCCATCACCACTACATGTCAGTATCTCCACCTACAGACAACCATCACTACTACACTCAGTGTCTCCACCTACAGACCACCGTCACCACACTATGTCAGTGTCTCCACCTACAGACCACCATCACCACACTTTGTCAGTGTCTGCACCTACAGACCACCATCACAATTACATGTCAGTGTCTCCACCTACAGAACGCCATCACTACTACATGTCAGTGTCTCCACCTACAGACCGCCATCACTACTACATGTCAGTGTCTCCACCTACAGACCGCCATCACTGCTACATGGCAGCGTCTCCACCTACAGACCACCATCACTACTACACTCAGTGTGTCCACCTACAGACAACCATCACTACTACATGTCAGTGAAACCACCTACAGACCACCATCACTACTACACTCAATGTCTCCACCTACAGACCACGATCACTACTACATGTCAGTGACTCCACCTACAGACCACCATCACCACACTATGTTAGTGTCTGCACCTAGAGACCACCGTCACCACACTATGTTAGTGTCTGCACCTTCAGACCACCATCACTACTAGATGTGAGTGTATCCACCTACAGACAACCATCACCACTACATGTCAGTGTCTCCACCTACAGACAACCATCACTACTACACTCAGTGTCTCCACCTACAGACCACCGTCACCACACTATGTCAGTGTCTCCACCTACAGACCACCATCACCACACTTTGTCAGTGTCTGCACCTACAGACCACAATCACCACACTATGTCAGTGTCTGCACCTACAGACCCCCATCACAATTACATGTCAGTGTCTCCACCTACAGAACGCCATCACTACTACATGTCAGTGTCTCGACCTACAGACCGCCATCACTACTTCATGTCAGTGTCTCCACCTACAGACCGCCATCACTACTACATGTCAGTGACTCCACCTACAGACCACCATCACCACACTATGTTAGTGTCTGCACCTAGAGACCACCGTCACCACACTATGTTAGTGTCTGCACCTTCAGACCACCATCACTACTAGATGTGAGTGTATCCACCTACAGACAACCATCACCACTACATGTCAGTGTCTCCGGCTACAGACAACCATCACTACTACAATCAGTGTCTCCACCTACAGACCACCGTCACCACACTATGTCAGTGTCTCCACCTACAGACCACCATCACCACACTTTCTCAGTGTCTGCACCTACAGACCACAATCACCACACTATGTCAGTGTCTGCACCTACAGACCTCCATCACAATTACATGTCAGTGTCTCCACCTACAGAACGCCATCACTACTACATGTCAGTGTCTCCACCTACAGACCGCCATCACTACTACATGTCAGTGTGTCTCCACCTACAGACCGCAATCACTATTACATGTCAGTGTCTCCATCTACAGACCACCATCACTAATACATGTCAGTGTCTCCACGTACAGATCACCATCACTACTACATGTCAGTGTCTCCACCTACAGATCACCATCACTACTACATGTCAGTGTCTCCACCTACAGACCACCATCACTACTATATGTCAGTGTCTTTACCTACAGGTCATCATCACTACTTCATGTCAGTATTTCCACCTACAGACCACCATCACTGCTATTTGTCAGTGTCTCCACCTACAGACCACCATCACTACTACATGTCAGTGTCTCCACCTACAGACCACCATCACTACTACATGTCAGTGTCTCCACCTACAGACCGCCATCACTACTACATGGCAGCGTCTCCACCTACAGACCATCATCACAACTACAGTCAGTGTCTCCACCTACATACCATCATCACTACTACAGTCAGTGTCTCCACCTACAGAGCACCATCACTACTACAGTCAGTGTCTCCACCTACAGATCACCAACACTACTATATGTCAGTGTCTCCACCTACAGACCATTATCACTACTACAGTCAGTGTCTCCACCTACAGAGCATCATCACCACACCATGTCAGTGTCTCCACCTACAGACCACCATCACTACTACATGTCGTGTCTCCACCTAGAGACCACCATCACTACACCATGTCAGTGTCTCCACTAAAAGACCACCATCACTACTACATGTCGTGTCTCCACCTACAGACCACCATCACTACTACAGTCAGTGTCTCCACTAAAAGACCACCATCACTACTACATGTCAGTGTCTCCACCTACAGACCACCACCACCACACCATGTCAGTGTCTCCACCTACAGACCACCATTACTACTACATGTCAGTGTCTACACCTACAGACCATCATCACCACACCATGTCAGTGTCTCCACCTACAGACAACCATCACCACTACATGTCAGTGTCTACACCTACAGACCATCATCACCACACCTTGTCAGTGTCTACACCTACAGACCACGATCACCACACCATGTCAGTGTCTACACCTACAGACCATCATGACCACACTATGTCAGTGTCTCAACCTACAGACAACCATCACCACTACATGTCAGTGTCTACACCTACAGACCATCATCACCACACCATGTCAGTGTCTCCACCTACAGACAACCATCACCACTACATGTCAGTGCCTCCACATATCGACCACAACCTGTGAAGATCCGGGGGAGAATAGGTCTTCAGCAACCCATGCTTGCCATAAAAGGCGACTATGTAGTTCCTGTTGTTCTCTCATTGATATTAATCATAGACAATATATCTCATTCAATATCTTGAAGCTGCCAATGAAAGCATAAACTCAATTACTGTGCAAATATAAGTATGACGTATGAAGTTATCATTTTTATCTTCAAATACCACGATGTGCCCACTGATTGTTAAGAACTATGTAACTATGAAGTATGAACTGTTAACAATGTCACCTGTAATTGTTTTTTTGGCAATAGCTTGAAAGCCCAATGCAACGCCGCACATTGATTTTCATCTTGCATGTTCGGTGACCACGCAATCGCTGAGCCACACTGTAGCTTTGCCGGTCTGGCCTGGATACATAACTTCGACAAGGAATTAAGCTGTCTTCTTCCACGCTGAAGGTATGTTCGCTATCGTACTTGATTAATTTGGACTTTGGTTTGTTTAACACGTAAATTGTGGTTTAAAAGGAATACTCAAAACTAATTTTAATCAGCTTCATATATCAGAACAATATAATTAAATCAATATACGTACTGAGAAGAGAACAACAGTTTTGTGAACTAGGGACAGGTGTGTGTGTGTGTGTGTGTGTGTGTGTGTGTGTGTTTAAAGATGACCAAAACGGAAAGGAAATTAAACAAAAACAATTTTCCTCTATGAGTGTCACTTATTCGTAAAACCTCGGATATAATTAATTTTTGTGTTGTTTATCAGGCCTGTATGTACACTCAAACACTACGTCGCAAAAGTCAGTTATAGTGTTCTCCAGCAAAATTGCGAATAATCCGCGAATATTCCGCGGATAAGTTGCCAATAATTCGTGAATGATTTGCAAACCGCGGATTTCTGCGAAACCGTTTTTATTGCTTTATGGCACTAATTAGGAGTTATATGGGACTTCACGCCGTCAACGCATGACAATAGTCTCTATACATATACAATGTATACTGTGATGCTATACTGTGAATGGATTGAGGTACATGTAATGTTTGATAAATGCATGTAAACACCTGTTTGTAAAATATTCCTGCTATAATAATGCTGTCATTAAATATTTTTATTGCCATGAATATTTGATTTATGATCCACTTGTGCACATGTACTTGGTTAAAAACCACATACAATGTACATGTACTTGGTTAAAAACCACATACAATGTACATGTACTTGGTTAAAAACCACATACAATGTACATGTACTTGGTTAAAAAACACATACAATGTACACGTACTTGGTTAAAAGCCACATACAATGTACACGTACTTGGTTAAAAACCACATACAATGTACACGTAGTTGGTTAAAAACCACATACAATGTACACGTACTTGGTTAAAAACCACATACAATGTACACGTACTTGGTTAAAAACCACATACAATGTACACGTACTTGGTTAAAAACCACATACAATGTACATGTACTTGGTTAAAAACCACATACAATGTACATGTACTTGGTTAAAAACCACATACAATGTACACGTACTTGGTTAAAAACCACATACAATGTACACGTACTTGGTTAAAAACAACATACAATGTACACGTACTTGGTTAAAAACAACATACAATGTACACGTACTTGGTTAAAAACCACATACAATGTACATGTACTTGGTTAAAAACCACATACAATGTACATGTACTTGGTTAAAAACCACATACAATGTACATGTACTTGGTTAAAAACCACATACAATGTACATGTATGGAGGGGCGTCCTGATTAGTGTGGCCAGACAGCTACCCTTGATAACAATATGAAGTGCATTACATGTACTATTTGATAACCGGTGTATAACCATATTATGTTCAGAATGATCAATTCAGTGTGGCAAATGTGGCAGTGTGACAACACGATTTACATTTATGTGTAAAATGTGTTCACCTCTCAAGAGAAAATATTTATGATAAAGTTAAATGTGTGTGTAAATATTGTGTAAACAAGGTATACATGTGGTTATTACACTCTAGTGAAAGATCTAATATTTAGCAATCCCCCCATTTATTATATCCCGAGTAGTTTTGTGATTCAGTTGTCATCACCTTCCTTATATGAACATTTGATTTCCATCCATGTTCATTGTGCTGGAGAAGTTATACACTATCATTTGCAACCGAGTCACAGACACAGGTGATAACAAACTCCGAGAAGTATACTGGGGTTTTGAGTTTTCACATGTAGAACTTTACATTGAAGGTGTATACCACATATATCGACAATATTATATTTGGTTGCAGGGATGCTCGAAAATTGGTGATATGATATTCCTCCGATTGATGAAGAATTGAGTGAAAATTGGGACACGAATGCAGCTTGTAGATGCATTGTCACTTTTGATTTGAAATTGGGAACAGTTCAGAAAAACAGAAAAGCCTTCTTATGATAATTCCCATTTTCTCACTAGTGCGATGTATAATGTCTTATCCGTATATGCCCTGTAGCTGTTAGAACATACAGAAACATGATCCTTAAGAGTAGATATTGAATATAGTTATTTTTAATTTTGTTAACGATCTTTTACTCGAATACGCGTACATGATGTTAGAAATCGCAATTCATTAGTACTGTCTCTCTGTACATGCGGACTGACTAATACCTTCAGTAAGATCTCTTCTTCTTATAACTAGGTCAGTTTACTCTTGAATACACAATGTCACTCGCAAGAGACAACAGAAAGTTGTATCAAATTACAGAGTCGGCCTTATTTACAGACAGACAGACAGACAGACAGTGTTTATTTGAGTCTCACCTCACACAAATATTTACATAGATACATATAACAGTACATATAAGCGAGCCACACGTTAAGGGCTACGAGAGACTTAAAATATATCACAATATATACATGAAAAATATATTAATGTAAAAGGGGTATATAAAATATGGAACCGATCACTGGCAATAAAAAAATATTTTTTTATATCTATAGTGTATCAGTATTACATAACTCTAGGAAGTTGGGATAGCGATACAGCAATACATGACATTCATCCTCAATACTTTCCTTACATTGAAAACACACTCGTTCATTCACATTCATACACGGATATCTGCCTGTTTTCAACTTTTGAGGAGCAGTACCTGATCTAAATTTGGCGAAGGCAGAGCGGTAAGAACGAGGCATATACGTACTTACAAAACTTCCACACCCATAAATTATTACCACCGGTTCTTTCGCCAGGCTAACATAACATGTACAGTTCATTCCAATCAGACACATTCTTTCTCAAGCAGATATCCTGCACACGTAAAACTACAATTTTCACGCTTACATCCTTTGTAATATTCAAACACCATTCGTTCATCTTTGCCTTTACACGACAATGCAAGTTTTTCACACAGGTGAGTCTACAATACCTGCTCTTGTAAATATTTTTTTAATAATTTAATTAATGATTGTGGACACGAATACGCGTACATGATGTTAGAAATCGCAATTCATTGATACTGTCTCTCTGTATATACGGATTGTCTAATACCTTCAGTTAAACATCTTCTTGTTATAATTAGGTCAGTTTACTCTTGAATACACAATGTCACACGCCTAAGAGAAAGTCGTATCTAATTACGGAGTCGGCCTAATTTACAAACAGACAGACAGATTGTTTATTTGAGTCTCGCCTCACCAACAATATTTACATAGATACATATAACAGTACACATACAATAGGAAACACGTACATGTAGTCACTTACTCTAATTTATCTGCTAATTAAAATTTTCAATTGTCATGTGATAGCGCTGTGACTAAAATCTGGCTGTTTTCTCTGTATCGGTTATGAATATTTGAGTCGTCCAGTCATACATTGTACGATTCTTACCCAATCGAATGATTGGACCACACATTTCAGCAGAGAGTTATTATTTTAATTTCATTATATAGATTTATTGTTAGTTGTAGTAGATACTTACATCAGTGTGTCTCAGAAAGCGGAACTGTAAACATGTACTTGCTACACAGGGAATTGCTTCTTATTATTTCCTGTATATATCTCCTTGTACAAAGATCTCACATGTATGTTGTAATCGGTGCAGTGTGTGTCCACATGTGTGTTGTAATCGGTGCAGTGTGTGTCCACATGTGTGTTGTAATCGGTGCAGTGTGTGTCCACATGTGTGTTGTAATCGGTGCAGTGTGTGTCCACATGTATGTTGTAATCGGTGCAGTGTGTGTCCACATGTATGTTGTAATCGGTGCAGTGTGTGTCCACATGTATGTTGTAATCGGTGCAGTGTGTGTCCACATGTATGTTGTAATCGGTGCAGTGTGTGTCCACATGTATGTTGTAATCGGTGCAGTGTGTGTCCACATGTGTGTTGTAATCGGTGCAGTGTGTGTCCACATGTATGTTGTAATCGGTGCAGTGTGTGTCCACATGTATGTTGTAATCGGTGCAGTGTGTGTCCACATGTATGTTGTAATCGGTGCAGTGTGTGTCCACATGTATGTTGTAATCGGTGCAGTGTGTGTCCACATGTGTGTTGTAATCGGTGCAGTGTGTGTCCACATGTACAGTCACAGCTGGCTACCGTTGCATCTCCCATCAAGTCTGCTCTATATTTCAAGCATGATTTCATTTCCAAAGACATTTTGAATGAAAGGAATTAAAAAGGAATTCGTTTTATAGTCATATTTACCTAACGTACGTGTATTTCACCAAATAAAAAAGGTATACACTCGTACAATATTTCGTTCCAATGGACATAGACTATTCAACTCGCTCGCAAAGTTCGAAGGTGGTATATGACTTTCAAGTGAATACGTTTACAGTGTTAATATATTTATACTTTTAACTACAGAAAACAGAAAACGTATTATCTTACCCCACATGAACTTCCACACATGAACTATCAAAATACTCAGTAATTTTCTTGCCATAATCGTATGTTACAGTTGCTTTAACATGATTACCCATACTCTGAATAATACATTAAAACTTGCCATGAATACCATTTTGCAATCTATCAACCATATCAAATGCTTTTCGAAATCAATAAAAGCTATCATTACGATGTTGAAGAAACTCACTGACTTCAGTAGAGAAATTCTCATCCCCTATTGACACTGGATTAAGTAATTCCTTAAAAGAATCTACCCAAGTTGCGGGTGCGAAGCTAGAGTCCTGCGAGCTTGCGGTAATATAAAGTTAAACAAGTCTCAAATCTGTTGTACAGTTGCTATCATTCGCAGCATTAACTAATGCCTTTGTAATGCTCTGCTTAAAATGATTCTGTATTTGTTTACATAAAGATTTAAATCCCATATCGGATCCGTATATACACACAAATATCGGATCTGAATGTACACTCCTATATCGGATCTGTCTATACACTCCAATATCAGATCTGCATATACACTCCTATATCGGATCTGTATACACAATCCTATATCAGATCTTCATATACACTCCTATATCGGATCTGTTTGTACACTCCTATATCGGATCTGTATACACACTCCTACACGTATGTTTTGCTGGTCTGATAGATAACGACATATGAGTGCTTTCTAGCACACAACATTCACAATATTATATTGACCATTTCCTATTTGAAACATATACTTTTCATTTCAAATATCATCGCTCGCTTGATTCGAATTAACAGGACTCGTAGGCTCAAACGACTTCGAATTAGTAGAATCGGGTTTTGACTACAATGTATATTCATTTGCACGTGGTACTGCTAACGTGGTCTACTTCCTGGTGGATACAATGCAAAGTCGTGATGTTGTTATACATATGACGTCATTTCGATTTCTGTAAACTCTGATATCCTGACCACAGTTGGATAATCGCCTGGTGGCAGCACAGAGACGTCTCGTTGTGAGGGGAGAATGAAGTTGAAAATCGCACCTATCGGATTCATGTTTGGGTTTGGCTGTGGCGCCCTTTTTCTTATCATCACTCAGGTGAGTTGCTCTCCAATCCATTTCATAACTGGTTTGAAAAGAAGAAGGGTGCACAGTCTTATAAAAAAACGGTTGTGAGGGTGGTGCACATAAAATACAAAAATGTTTGCACATAATTCGGGAAACAATATGTGTGTATAACCCATACATTAGTCAAACAATGCTACTTTTGTTATGAGAACAGAATGTGAGCAAATGATTTAGATATTCTTCCCCATACAAGTGTACTTCAATAGGGTTAGTCTGCTTCAAGACACGACATTCAAACCTACGACCATGGATTTCTGAGAGACCTACGGTACGGAACTCTGCACAGCGAATTGCGGCCCTGTGGATGACTGGGCCACCCGTCCCCCAAATATTAATAAGATGAAAACATAGCTATGAATCCACGACGCAACAGCAGTTTTACTGCTTTCACAGGAGGCTATTGTTATTATAGTCTTTGTGTTGGTAAAATTCTGCAGGTAAGGTCATATCCGAATTGTAAATCCCATTTACGAATTTTTAGTATGCAAGTTTCGGTGACACGGAAATGGTTTTATCTTTGTAGCTGCCTTTTTAGGCACGGCAAACTGTTCGCCGCTTATATTGTGTCATTGAGCTGGTGAGGTTTTCTTTCAGTTGTGGGAACAGAAAAAAGAGTTAAGAAGGGATGGGATTTATCATTATATCTATAGCTCTGAACACTCTGGGACGCCGTAACTTCAACTCACTCTGCACTATTACGGTGTGTGTGTTTGTGTGTGTTTATTCGTTTCAACAAATCAGCAGTGCGTAGCTTCATCCATAATAAGGATAAAATGTTCATGATAACATCTCGCCAAAGTGGCAGTTCCATTAGACAGCAATTTATATTGCATTTGTCTGGAGCGATATGTTACAGATAATAATGATAATATTAGAGGGCGTCATGGAAAATGATAAATACAAAATCCTTTGGAATAGGCCCATTTACAGCCTCAGACCTATCCAGGCCAACAAACCTGATCTTGTCCTTTTTGATAAATCAAATGAAATCATTTATATCATTGAATTTTCTGTCCCCTTTGACACTAATGTGATTGACAAGATTGAGGAAAAACATGGCAAATATGTAAATAATAATGATAATAATAATACTGTACCTCACGAATCGATTTTGAAGCACTGGAATGTATTGACCTCACCGAGCGACTGCTTGTTTTATTCAGAGTCTTTATTGAATTGCTGGTCAACTCAACTTGAGATGTATTTGCAGGGGCAGGTGGTGATTACGATTCGGAACCCATTTCTATTAGAAGAGGAATATTGCCAACGATTCTTTCAGTCCTTTGCTTTTCTGTTTGTCATTAAATCCTTTAAGCATTTTGCTTAGCAAAGAGGAAGGTTATCATCCTGGAGCTCCTCAGCACATATCCTCAAGACCCCTTACTCACCTCCTTTACATGGATGACTTTGAACTTATTGCCAATGGAGGATCCACACTAAAAAAACAGATTCTCCTTGTCGAGTCCGTTTCTAATGATATAGGACAAAATCCACATCAGTGAGGGACATGCTCAATGCGCAAAATTCAGTATATGTACATATGTACAACAGAGAGGGGACAATAGAATAGTAAAAATATACACATTCAGTTGTAGCGTTCAAAAAGGTATGTGTTGAGTCCAGACTGAAACACAGTGATACTAGTTGCACTTTTGAGGCTGAAAGGAAGGGAGTTCCACCAGCATGAGAGAAGGATCGAGCACCGAAGGACTTTGGTCTGTATTTTGGAACATACAGGAGAAGTTGGTCATTTGATTGGAGTCAATAAATACACCAAGGGTTTTGACAAGTGAGGAAAAAGGAATCAAGGATTGTCCAATTGTCAGGTTGGTTTGATGAGATTTATGCTGTCTCTCGGGCGGAGCGATTACGATTGCTTCTGCTTTATCGTCATTCAGCTTAAGCATGTTGGCAGTCATCCAGGATTTGACATTGTTTGGACAACTTTCCATCTTGTTCAAAGATGAAATCTGATTGTCGAGGAGGGGACTGAAACTATCAACTAATTGTGAATCCTCTGCATCAAAGCGATGAGCCACATGCTCTTCTGATATCAAATGCCCTACCGAATGTCCATGGTGAACAAGATCAGTCCCAGCACAGACCCTTGAGGCACACCACATGTGAGACGTTCGCTGTTCGACAGTCTTGTTTATCCGAACTGAGTGTGTCCTACCTGTCAGTTACGAGGAAAACCACGCCAGGACAGTGCTGCTCAGACCATTGTCATTTTCCAAACGAAATAATAACCATGCATGGTTTATTGTTTCAAACGCCGCTGACAGATGAAGAAGGACTTACTGATGCACAACGCGGAGACATATTTGTTACCAGTAATTGATGCGCCGCATGGCGCGATATATGTTACCAAAAATTGATGTGCCACAATGGCGGTCATTACTATATTCCGTGTCGTCATGCACATGTGTTTATTCTGTCTCGAAGAACACAGGAACACTTCAAAGTATTCTAGATAAAGTACAGAAAAGATTTTGCTCAATCGCTGTTTTTATCTTTTTGTGAAATCGACAATCTCAATCTCACGTCAATAAGGTCATCGTCTGTTTACCTGCCCACTACCAGTTGTTTTACGGGCTTCTGATTGGTTGAAGTTAATTAGGGGTGTCTCCCGTAGGTATGTTTGACTCTTTATTGACAGTGTTGAAAATGGTGTTTACACTGTCACTTACATGTATTCATTCGCCAATTGGGATTTTAAGCACATTGTGATATTTGTTTCCGATGTTCCTCTTTTCAAGTGAAAATGTCACTAAGTTGATTTATAAGGATTGACTGATATTAATGGCACGGTCCCTGGTATGCAATATTGAATACACTTCACACCATGCTAAAGACATCAGTTAAAGCTTATATTAGGCGTTTTACTACTTTAATGTGTAAAGTTGAACTGAGCTATTATAAAATTTAATGGTGATGTTTTTATTCTTAAACATAAAATGAAATTGAAAGTTGGAGCCTTTTCTTTTTCCAGTATCGAGTCACAGAACAGAAGGCCCATCTAGATGCTAGTACCACGGCCCAACTCAAGGTGACCAGGCAACTACATGACATAAATGAGACAAAAGTAACCTTAGGAACAGTAGCTTTCAAAGTATAAACGATGAAATCGAATTAATCACTTGTAAGTCCTGAGCAGTCGTATAGTTTAAAAAAACAATTATTCGTTCAAAGAATGTTGAAAAATCTCTACTTCAGTACCGAAAATCAAATTGGGCGTTGCATTCCGAAGAAAACATGGATGGACCACTCAAGGACCTTCGCCAGCAAGGACAGGTAAAGCACCACCTTTCATTATCTCTTATGAGGCGACACATGTGGCCCAGTAATCTAAGGCTCCCAAATTTAGTGTGCAGAGTTGTCCCCCTTTAGAAGTGCCGAAAACCTGTGATCTTGGGTTCTGATCCTGCATAGTCCTGGTGATGTTTCTAGGTTTGTCAGCACCATGGCCATGTTCATGAGTTCCATGTAGTAAACGCTTCGGGCTGTGCGGAATTGCGTCCGTTATGCGTCCCAGTAAAAACTATGATCCTCGGTTCGAATCCCAGTTTGCTCATGGGTTTCACCAACGCGAACATCCTGTGGCATAACTGAAATACAGTTGAAAGCTGCGTTAAACAAAAATCACCAACTTACTTGTATGTCATTTAATCTAGTTTAAGGCAACTTGGAACATCATGCATGTGAGTGATGTGATGACGTGTGAGGTTAGCGCAGGGAGAAATAGTGAGGACCATAATCAGGGCAAACCTGGATTACGTGCCCGCAAAAACTGGATCCTGCCACAGGGACGCAACTCGGCACAGAAAGATGCTTTGCCATATACCATTTTCTCAACCGTACCCACTTCTCTCTTGTATAACCACATTGTATTTATTTATTTATTCTAAATGTTTCATTTCTATTTTTATGTTTGGAATAACCTACTTTTACTTTTACTGATACCATTCACATCGAGACTCCCTGGCACCATTCACATCTAGAGTGGCCTGATACCATTCACATCTAGAGTGGCCTGACAATATTCACATCTAAAGTGTCCTGATACCATTCATATCTGGAGTGGCCTGTGTCATTCACATCTAGAGTACCCTGATACCATTCATATTTAGACTGGCCTGATATCATTCACATCTAGACTGGCCTGATACCATTCACATCTAAATTAGCCTGATACCATTCACATCTAGAGTGGCCTGATACCTTTCGCACCTAGAGAGGCCTGATACCATTCACATCTAGAGTGGCCTGATACCATTCACATCTAGAATAGCCTGATACCATTCACATCTAGAATAGCCTGATACCATTCACATCTAGAATAGCCTGATACTATTCATATCTGGAATGGACTGATATCCTTCACATCTAGTGTGGCCTGTGTCATTCACATCTAGAGTGGCCTGATACCATTCACATCTAGAGCGTCCTGATACCATTCACATCTAGAGTGGCCTGATACCATTCACATCTAGAATAGCCTGATACCATTCACATCTAGAATAGCCTGATACCATTCACATCTGGAGTGGCCTGATACCATTCACATCTAGAGTAGCCTGATATCATTCACATCTAGAGTGGCCAGATACCATTCACATCAAGAGTGGCCTGATACCTTTCACATCTAGCGTGGCCTGATACCTTTCGCACCTAGAGAGGCCTGATACCATTCACATCTAGAACAGCCTGATACCATTCGCATCTAGAATAGCCTGATGCAGTTCATATCTGGAGTGGCCTGATACCATTCACATCAAGAGTAGCCTCATACCATTCACATCTAGAGTGGGCTGATACAATTCACATCTAGAGTGGCCTGATACCATTCACATCTAGATTAGCCTGATACCATTCACATCTAGAGTGGCCTGATACCATTCACATCTGGAGTGGCCTGATACCATTTACATCTAGAGTAGCCTGATACCATTCACATTTAGAGCGGCCTGATACCATTCACATCTGGAGTGGCCTGATACCATTCACATCTAGAGTAGCCTGGTACCATTCACATCTAGAGTGGCCTTATACCATTCACATCTAGATTAGCCTGATACCATTCACATCTAGACTGGCCTGGTATCATTCATATCTAGAATGGACTGATATCATTCACATCTAGAGTGGCCTGTGTCATTCACATCTAGAGTGGCCTGATACCATTCACATCTAGAGCGTCCTGATACCATTCACATCTAGAGTGGCCTGATACCATTCACATCTAAAATAGCCTGATACCATTCACATCTAGAATAGCCTGATACCATTCACATCTGGAGTGGCCTGATACCATTCACATCTAGAGTGGCCTGATACCATTCACATCTAGAGTGGCCTGATACCTTTCACATCTAGAGAGGCCTGATACCATTCACATCTAGAACAGCCTGATACCATTCTCATCTAGAATAGCCTGATAAGTTCATATCTGGAGTGGCCTGATACCATTCACATCTAGAGTACCCTGATACCATTCACATCTAGAGTGGGCTGATACAATTCACATCTGGAGTGGCCTGATACCATTTACATCTAGAGTAGCCTGATACCATTCACATCTAGAGTTGCCTTATACCATTCACATGTAGATTAGCCTGATACCATTCACATCTAGAGTGGCCTGATACCATTCACATCTGGAGTGGCCTGATACTATTCACATCTGGTGTGGCCTGATACCATTCACATCTAGAGTGGCCTGATACCATTCACATCTAGAGTGGCCTGGTGCCATTCACATCTAGAGAGGCCTGATATCTTTCACATCTAGAGTAGCCTGGTGCCATTCACATCTAGAGTGGCCTGATACCATTCACATCTAGAGCGGCCTGATACCATTCACATCTGGAGTGGCCTTGTACCATTCACATCTAGAGTGGCCTGATACCTTTCACATCTAGAGTGGGCTGATACAATTCACATCTAGACTGGCCTTATACCATTCACATCTAGATTAGCCTGATACCATTCACATCTAGAGTGGCCTGATACCATTCACATCTGGAGTGGCCTGATGCCATTCACATCTAGAGTAGCCTGATACCATTCACATCTAGAGTGGCCTGATACCATTCACATCTAGATTACCCTGATACAATTCACATCTAGAGTGGCCTGATACCATTCAGATCTGGAGTGGCCTGATACCATTCAGATCTCGAGTGGCCTGATACCATTCACATCTAGAGTGGCCTGATATCATTCACATCTAGAGTGGCCTGGTACCATTGACATCTAGAGAGGCCTGATACCTTTCACATCTAGAGTAGCCTGGTACCATTCACATCTAGAGTGGCCTGATACCATTCACATCTAGAGCGGGCTGATACCATTCACATCTAGAGTGGCCTGATACAATTCACATCTGGAGTGGCCTGATACCATTCACATCTAGAGTGGCCTGATACCATTCATATCTGGAGTGGCCTGATGCCATTCACATCTAGAGTGGCCTGGTACCATTCACATCTAGAGAGGCCTGATATCTTTCACATCTAGAGTAGCCTGGTACCATTCACATCTAGAGTGGCCTGATACCATTCACATCTAGAGCGGCCTGATGCCATTCACATGTGGAGTGGCCTTGAAACATTCACATCTAGAGTGGCCTGATACCATTCACATCTAGAATGGGCTGATACAATTCACATGTAGACTGGCTTTATACCATTCACATGTAGATTAGCCTGATACCATTCACATCTATAGTGGCCTGATACCATTCAGATCTGGAGTGGCCTGATACCATTCACATCTGGAGAGGCCTGATACCATTCACATCTAGAGTGGCCTTATACCATTCACATGTAGATTAGCCTGATACCATTCACATCTAGAGTGGCCTGATACCATTCAGATCTGGAGTGGCCTGATACCAATCACATCTGGAGAGGCCTGATACCATTCACATCTAGAGTGGCCTGATACAATTCACATCTAGAGTGGCCTGGTACCATTCACATCTAGAGAGGCCTGATACCTTTCACATCTAGAGTAGCCTGGTACCATTCACATCTGGAGTGGCCTGATACCATTCACATCTAGAGCGGCCTGATACCATTCACATCTAGAGTGGCCTGATACAATTCACATCTGGAGTGGCCTTGTACCATTCACATCTAGAGTGGTCTGATACCTTTCACATCTAGAGTGGCCTGATACCATTCACATCTTGGTTGGCCTTACACTATTCACATCTAGAGTAGCCTGATACCATTCACATCTAGAGTAGCCTGATACCATTCACATCTAGACTGGCCTGGTACTATTCACGTCATTCCGTCTATTTATAATATAATCACCTAAATGTCAACATTCTATAGATAATATCGCTATCTACATATAATTTATTAATTTGAAGTTTACACGATATACGGCTTTTCCATTGGACGAGAGGTCGGTCACATGACCTCGAAATTGACGTTCATAAGTGTATGAACGACACAATTTGACGTTCATAGTTTTTCACGAGACCGTGTTCTTGAAATGACGTAAACACTGACGGACTACTTACACATTCCTCGGGAAACCCCTCGGAATTCCCTAGCACGAAAACATGCATAAGCGTTCTTTCTGATCATTTAGAACCTTTATTCCTGGTCTCAGCGTTTCAGTATACATTGAGAAATGCGGAGAGCGTGACTGCATGATTGTTCACGAATATCCTCGCTACGGCCAATCCTAATGAACAAAGGAAGAAATGCACATCTAAACTATCGTAGTATCGACTCGATCCGTGCCTAGGCTGACATTGACCGTCTCCAGCAATCCATGTATTTACCTTTGTGTCTGTTTGACGCATCTTTAATCACCCTTCAATGATCGGCCAGTTGATCAGTGATGACTAACAAATGTAACCGCCACAGATTCATTACCAACTTCGGAAATATCTCCCGTCACGTTTATTGTGTCGGCCATTTTGACGTCTTGTACTTGATGTAAATGTATTACGACGCGCTGTCATTGTGACTGACTTACTGAGGTAGTTCTTTACAGACCTTTCTCATCTAATGAGGATATGATTTGAACACATGTGCTGCGTAAGATGTTTCTGAAGAGCAAGTTGTGCATCAATACGCCCATGTCACCTCTCTTTTTGAGGAACTATTTTACTCCGCGATATAGCTGGTTGTTGTATGGCTGCTAGTGTAAACATGACGTCACCCGTACTAAATAAAATTGTGTTACGATCTTGGTCTACATCCTTTGAGGTAAAAATTGTGATAGAAAATTATAAGAATTGACTTTCACATTGTGTGAGTTCACTGGAGTATGAACCTTCATAGAGTGAGGGCCAAACATTGTATAGTTGTATAGTTTGGCCCTCACTCTATGAAGGTTCATACTCCAATAAACTCACACAAAGTGAAGGTCAATTCTTAAGTATACATTCCATTTATGACATGGTCATCTTCATGTAAACATTCTCTATATAATCGCCATCTTCATGTCAACATCAGGTTTATTCATTACGAATTCACAGATCGATGAGTGATCGAGGGTTGTATTATTTTCAGACAGGGGCAGCACACTTAGAAGCCCAGAATACACGATTAAAAACATTTCAAAACAACAACAAAATCATTGGAAACCAATGAAATGGACAGTGGGAAATGTTCTTGATTTGTTTGTTTGTTAGTTGTGTAACGCCGCACTCAGCAATATTTCGACTTGACAGCCCAGTGACAAACATCATGAACACCGATCCACGGAATGTATCGACATTCAGTCAGCCAAGTCACTGAGCCTGACCACCCAACCTATTTAGTTGTCTCTCACGACACGCTCCTGTTGCTGGGGATCTATATTCTTACCCTGAATCGCCACGAGTAATCTCCACAAGTGCTGTGCTAGATACTATGAGATAATGTCAAATAAAGTAGCTTTGGTACAACCTCGCTAGGCCCGTCCTACATACAAAATATCTAAAACATAACCAACGTTGCATAAACTAAATTTGTGAGTCGTTACATGTTTATTCCAATGACATTTTAGTTAATTAATGATGAATCTTACATCTTCAGATTATGACTGAAGTCAACCCTTGTTAATCCAGGAGATTACCCAATCAAGGCGACTTGATTAATATTTCCCCGGATATCATCCTGCACACATGCACACGTTTGTTAGAGTTAGCGTTTCCAAGTTAACGATTTTTCAATTAACAAAAATTAACAAAACATTATATTTCATTATAACGATAAAGACATTTGCCATCCCACGCACGTGGGATCAAAGCGTTGTCTTTCGTACTTCCTACACAGTGAAACTTTGTTAATCAGACGGTACTTTCTCTGTGACATCGTCGAGGAGAAAGTGTGATGTATAACACCTATACAAAACATGAACAACATGTAAAGAATAACAAATATCATTTGGGGGTAATACAGAACAAATTCCAAACAAAACCCCAAATACCACCAAGTGGAAGAACAAGTTTTTAACTTAAGTAAAATTCTTGTTATTATTAGAGTCAAAATGTAATTGCTTCATTAAGTTGTCTTGCCAAGTTATTGTCACTGATGCACACATAGCGTTCATAGGACGATGAGCGCCAGTTACCTCTGAGCTTAATAAGAGTGTTAGACTCCCCTACTTCGAAAGCAAATACGCAACCTCCACTCCGAAAAGAGGGACAACTGTCATCACTTGACTTGTAACCACACAAGAACTGGTAACAATTCAAGGTCCAATCAAAACCATTGTATGTTAAGCACTTGGCCCAACCACCAGCATTCATATCGGAGAACAAGGGGACTGCTGCCTTCTGTATAGCAGCAGAACACTGGTCTATGTAAGGCTGACACAGGACAGTCTGGTGTTTGAAACAGCTGCCAGAGGTAAACGAAGCACACGTTGTCCAAACTGTCAGGCTTTTGTAGATGTGTGCAGAACGGTCACCGTAGTCACTTTCCCTGCTGTGGAAAATAACATCTTTCATAAACAGATAGGTCTTCTTTCTGGAACTTACGCCACTGGCTGATTCAGGAAGCATAGTAGACTTGTGCAAGGACTTGGACATGCAGAGCCTTGATAATCTCTCTAAATTGATTTCTCTTCTAAGTTATCCAAGGGGTTCTGCAATCCAAATTCGAGGTGTGAAAGTCTCAGTACCTTCTGATATCCTGGAATACTTGCACCACCGTTTAGCTGACAGATGGACGATAAAGATTTCTTTAACATTGATATGTGATCAGTTAACTTCTGGAAAATCCAAATTTCGGTTGCGATAGATCCTGTCCGTTCCATAACGTGCTGCGCCACCCTCTTGACATGCATCTGATGTCCATTTTTTCTTTGAAATTAAAAGGACTTCATGATGTCTGCCTACTCACTCTTATTGAGTCTTACATGACGACTGCGCCTTTTGTGGGTGTTTATTAAATTAATCAGTCTGAAAAAGAAGGCTCGTCCACCATGAACCATCCATGCAACCCAATTAAGTTGTCCTTTAACCTCCTGCAAAGCCTGGGATTTAGGCTGTACCACTTGTTCTGTCAATTTCAATGCCAAGAAAACCAAGCTTTTGACAAGGCCGCACTGTCTTATCAGCAATGATGCATTGAACTACTGAGATTTTGTGTCACCAATCACTGGAAAGTCATCAGGATACACAACCACTATGAAACCTCTGTGTTCCATCATTATTCTGACCGAAGAAGAAAGTCTGTGGAATATATCTGGTCTGTTAGATGTCCCCAAAGGAAACCTTGTATCCACCATATAGGTTGGAATATTAGCGTTCTTGAAACACGGTTTCAATCCATTTGCTTCCTAACTGGTTTCTAATGTCTATCTAGGGCGGGTTGAGTACTCCAGTAGTTAAAGCGTTGGGTCGTCACTCAGAAGACCCAGATTCGATCCCCACATGGGTACAGTGTGTGAAGCCCATTTCTACTGTCCACCACCATGATATTGCTAGCATATTCCTAAAAGCTGCGTAAAATCATACCCAGTCACTCAGTCACTGTAATGTCTATCCTTGCCATAAAACTCTTTGGCAACAATTTAACAGCAGCATCGATTTCGTGATGTTGGTATTTTTGCGTTGATCAAAACAATCACGAATCAGTCTCAAATTCCTGAACCTTTTGTAATAGCACCAAGGCAGCTAGGGTTCTAATACACCGCTACCTAACCCCAAGCTTCATTTCTGAAGTGATGATTTGAACTTCAACCAATTGTGCATTCTCATGATCAGAAGCAGATTGGTAATATTTAAAATTAGTCCCAATATCTCAATAGTCTCAATGCTCTGGTTCAAATAATCACTGTTTTTGTGCTTGCTGATGATGATGTGAGTTGTCAAGCAGCATCACCGATGGCAGAAAGAAGATCTGGCAAAGATCCCTTATCTCTGCTGTATATTCCAAATACTCTTTAATTTCTGTAATTTCTGCATCACCTTAATCCATAAGCTTTGTAAGTAGATGAGCATTTGCAGATACCGATTGCGTCAACTTGACCTGTTCTGGTAAAGGCTTCATCTTAGATGTCCGTAGATACAATTGTTGACAACCCTCGATTTTGAGTTTCGTCACTGACGACCTATGCTTTGTGACGAAATCAGGGGCCTCACACCTTCAACTTTTCGTCCACCTTCATCTTGGTCGAGGAGGCCATCCATGGAACTTCGGCCGAGACACTTCTACAAATGCACATCGGATAGTCCTTTAGATCATTCAGCTCTTTCATTTCAGTTAATACCTGCATAGTCTTCAACAATGCGTGTGTCGCTACTTGAAACTATTTTATGGCATTGCTACTCCAAAGGAAATTATAGGTCCATAACATCCTCAAGAGACAATAAAGTCAACGGCTTAATTCCAAACAATTCTTCATCCTCAAATATCTGTGTCGTTTTACTGTTGAGTTCCCGATCGTGAAACCATTACACCATATCTAAAACCGATAGTGATCACCATTAAGTTTTCCGCAAAAAGGGCCTTAACCCAACGTGAGTAATGTTACAGTACTGTCCATATTTGCTGTACTGTTCGTAACGAGGAGTGTCCGGATTAACTGAGACCAGTACTGTTTGCTAGTTTTTTAACGCTGCACTAAGCTTCATATTTCAGCTATTAATATGACGGCGGCCTGTAAATATTCTAGTCTGGGCCAGACATTCCAGTGATTGACATCTCACACAATTGCGAGATATGATGTCACATATGATGACATGCAATCAAACAAGTTACTGAGCTTGACTACTCGATTCATTAAGTCGACCCTTTAGACAAGCATACGTTAAAGTGTACATCTTTCTTACCCGAAACACTAAAAGGGAGAGAATTATACGCTGCCGCGGACCTATATTCTGACCCGCAGTCCCCACAGGGAGACAAGCATAGGATTTTTGGGACCTATATTCTAACCCGCAGTCCCCACAGGGAGACAAGCATAGGTTCTTGGGGGCCTTTATTCTGACCCGCAGTCCCCACAGGGAGACAAGCATAGGTTCTTGGGGACCTATATTTTGACCCGCAGTCCCCACAGGGAGACAAGCATATATAGGTTCTTGGGGACCTATATTTTGACCCGCAGTCCACACAGGGAGACAAGCATAGGCTCTTGGGGACCTATATTCTGACCCGGAATGAAGTCTTACAGTCCCTAAAGAAGAACCTACAATAGGCGTAACGCCTCAGTAGCTTTGTGGAATGTGAGTCTTAACTATTATTATTTGGTATCATACATTATTACATATATTTCCATGATTTAGGTTCGCCTACCGGAGAAAGATGTAATAGAGAAAATGTCCATCAGTGAAGCATTCAAAACGTACCACAGGTAGGTGTATTAGGTGGATATAGTAACAGAAATGGACATATTGTCATGAGTTAACGTACACAATTGTGTAATATTCTTGACACCTGTGGACAGAAATCAGTACAATATTCTTGCAATGAAAGTGAATTAGTGAGTGAGTTTGGTGTATTGCCTCTTTGAACAGTATTTAGGTTACATCACGGCGTACCAGCTTGATGTGGGAGGAAAGCCCGACATGATGCAGGTCTTAGACGTTTTACCGATTTCGTGAAACCCACGAGCAGGGATATGACAAACCCAGAAACCTAATCAGGGAGAACCGTTGATAGTGGGTTCGAATCCCAGATTCGTACTGATAATCCTCTTTGGCTTCTCAGTACCATGCCAGTGTCTGTGAGATAGTGTTACGGCAACTGTAATGCAACACCACAATTATTTACAGAGGTGTGTCCTTCAATGTGCAAACGGTGGTCTAACATATATTGTTGGTGCAAATCATGACGTTGATGCTGATAAGAACAATAATTTTATAAGTGAGTGAGTGAGTGAGCATGGTTTTACGCCACTTTTAGCAATGTTCCAGCAATGTCACGGCGGGGGACACCAGAAATGGGCTTCACACATTGTACCCATGTCGGGAATCGAACCCGGGTCTTCGGCGTGACGAGCGAACGCTTTAACCACTAGGCTACCCGACCGCCCCAATCATTTTATAAGGGCTTCAACAAATATCATGATAACGCCTTTGTCTATATCTCGCTCATGGGTGCAATTTGTGTTAATCAGGCTCAATAAAAGTCAAGGTTGCGAAATTCTTGGGCACTAATTGATACAATAGTTCTTTGCCCAGCAATATTCCAGTTATATTGTGTCGGCCTGTAAATAATCTGGACCGGACAATCCAGGGCTTGATATTGCAAGCAACGATCCACGCCGTCGGGGTCCGATTGCACATAATCAACCAGGATCACAGAGCCTGACCACCTATTCCATTTGGAACTTTACAGTGTGTAAAGATGTGTAACTCTGCTTGTTATTCAGTTACCTTGACAACGTAGATATGTTGTGCAAGCGAAAGCTGCGCATGGGCAAACTCGGAGACGGAGGCTGGGAGATATGTGATGACGCAGAATACCGACCAGTAAAGCCTTGCATTGTGTACTCCTTTGGGTGAGTTGTCACCTGACTGGAATATATAGTTGTCTTAGATACAGATACAAACACTGATTACAATGGCATGTCCAACGTATGAAGCCAACGAAACACTTTGAATCGGAATGTAGGGCACTATGGTGTCCTTTTCAAATGTAAAAAAATGTTTAGTTATACAACACGGACCTTTTAAAGATAATCTCACAAAATTCAGATCTGTTACCGCACCAGGAAAACATGATAATCAGCCAATCAGCGTCGAGGCATCTAAATTATCGATTGTGTGAACGAATCATGTCTGAAAACAAACAGTTGTTAATGTAATTGTATGTCAATGAATTATTGTGTTTTATGTACTTTAAAGGGTCAATAACGCATGCATCCTTCATTTTGATTGATGTATAGTATCGGAATAAATGATCTGTCTTTAAAGCTATTACTTTTACTGTTGTGCACTGCCGTGCATGTATACCCACGCCGTATTGTACCTAACTGGTTACATGATAAGACACACTTATTCTAAAACTTTTCACAGCGAAGTAATATTGTTGTTGTTTTACTACAGAATCAACAACGATTTTTCTTTTGACGATGAAACGGCCAAAAACTATGAGTGTGACGTCTTTTCCTTTGATCCGAGGTTTGTACAGGCGCTTGTTCAAACCTACTTATACGTTATTCACCAGTTTGTTTGTTGTTTAACACCACACTCCGCCATATTCAAGCAATGTCGGCGGCTTTTTATTAATTGAGCCTTGAGAAACCAATGATTGATATTGAGCAACGTCACCCGCCGTGGGGGTACGATGACATGCAATCAACCAAATGACCGAGCCTGATCACCCGAATCATGAAGTCGGCTCTTTAGAACAGCATATGTTGCTGAGGACCAATTCTAACCAGGAATCCCCACGGGGTAAGAACTCATAACAGGACTGTCTGAAATAAACCAAGTTTGTCCGAACGCATTGGGTAAAGGGAAGTAACTCGATTCGTTATGTTCTTTTGTTCATTCAGTACAAGTGTTTTGTTAACGCAGTTAAACTGCGAACATATATTTGGAACCTTTATGAATGAATGTCGGTAAGATACATTCGTTGTCAACCGATCCCTTGGGGAGTTTGGTGCGGCAACTTATGATATACCCATTGAGGTCGGTTGGCAACATTCATTGTAACTAAAATACCTGACGTGGGATAACATGTTTATCTTTTTGAATAGATCATTTACGGACAGTTTTGCCATTGAATTTGATGTCCATGTCTCTGATTACTGATGTAATATATTAATGGCACGTGCATCATATTTCAGTATGAAACAGAAAAGTTACCAGAGATCACCACGGGTGCGGTTTTTAAGTTTAGGTATTGATGGAAAGGACTACAAGAAGGGTTCCTGGGATCTTCATTCATTGACCAGTTTCAAGAAAATGTTGAACCACACAGGGGTCAGTGATACGGAAATATTATGACATTTTACATCATTAATAACAAACCTCCACAAACTAATTTAGAACTTTTTGTTATTAATGTCTCTACTCTTGTCAATGTTGGGCGAAATGGGGACGTTTAACTTAAATGACCCCCAATGGAAGATGAAGATTCTTATCATTCATTTGTTTGTTGCCAGACAATCCACTAATAAGCATTTACAACCCGACCCATTTAGTCGCCCCAAGTTTTATATTATGTGTGCCATAATCCGTTATTGATGTAAAGAAATTATCTTGAGTAAACACAATTGAACAACATATTAACATGAACGTGTTATCCCAAAGTAATTTCTGAAGAGCAGAGATAAGACAGAGAAAATGGACTCTCTGGGGACTCTTTGCATATTTGCAGTTCTCCCCTGGCCGTGTCATTCAAAATGACGTTACAAGTTGACACGTGTTGTTACCCTTCTTGGCGCTCGGCATGAAGGGGTAAAACATTGATGGATCGGCTCGGAGTCAGTATAATGTGTGTGGAATATCTACATTAAACTGTGGCATGGTATCCCAGTGGGCTAGCACAATAAAACAGGCATACGTCAGCCACACATACACGTGCATGCATGTCGCTATAAGTGAAATAACCTTGAACACGACATTCAACTCTATTTCACATAATTTCAAACCAAAAATGTTAGTAAATGTGTAAGGATAATTTGTGATACAATAAGATCCTTCTTTTGTTTTCCAGAGATTCATTGATGTTCTCAAGATGGACGTTGAACAGTCAGAATGGCCAGCGCTGCCCAACATGATCTCATCAGGGGAACTGTCTAAAGTCCGGCAGTTTCTCGTGGAGTACCACGGACATTGTACCACAAGAAATGATTGCATCAGCAATCTGAACATTTTGAAAGACATCTATGATAAAGGATTTAGGAAGTTTTATGTTCACAAAAATCATCATTGTGGATTTAAAAATAATTTATTTCCTGTCATAAGGACAGGTTGCTATGAGATTCATTATGTGAATATCAACATACAGTAAATGCCATATTTGATCATTTTTAAAACAACATTTCAAAGTCTGCCGCCACTTCAAAATTTCCGGATTGCCGTCATATAGCCGTGTTCAGCGTGAACAACCAACAAACAAACAAAATCAAAATTTAAACCCTCTCGTCTTTTGTTCCATGTATTGCTCTGAGACGATACCTTCAGATCAGTATAACATGACATCCTTAATCTACATGTATGTCTGTCGCTGTAAAACTACATTTACTATGTGTTCAGTACTATGTCAAAAAATAAAAACCTCAAAACCCTTTCCATACCACAAGAAATCTCTGTAAAAGCGGACTCGATTGTATGATTCCGACTATATCATGAGGATGTGTTTATGACTCACTATCAACAAATCATCATACCAGGTGTTCGGGAAAAGGCGGTCGTATTCAATCCCATACGCCTTCAAGCAAGGTTATCAACCTGTAGGTCATATAATCACAGATGACTTCTCTGTTCAGTTTATGTGTTTAACAAAACACATTTCGGTAAAATTCGATAACGGATATATTACTCAATATATTTATCAATGAACTGTTTCTCAGTTCAGCATACAAGGGACAGAGTAGTTAGAAATAGCATTCACTTTCTACAGTGTTTAAATCACAAAACTGACACATTCTGTGTGCCCTTACGATCCCCACATATCTTCCCATCTCGATAAAGAGTTCATGTGAACTACATCTGCAAATGCAATTCGAAATGATTTTTTGTTACATTTAATAAGTATTGCCCTCCAAAGAAACTATTTTTAAAGAGGAAATAAGTTGATAATTTAATGGATACTTATAAGAAAAAGTGCCAGTTTTGATTAAAAGCATCTATGAAATGATCTGGTATATACGTGTTCTGTTCTGTTCATACATAACCACATGAATAAAGCTCAGGTCTTTGAAAGGCGTTTAGAAGTGATACACATAAGGAAGAGAATACAAAGCGTTTAAAAGTATATGCTTACTCATTCATCATTTGCACCTGATGAAGGCGCAAGCAGATACTCCGAAACGTTGTGTTCCTCATAATAAAGAAGTTGACATCCATATATTCTCTTCCTTATGAATAAAGATGATAGGTAACAGAAGATGACAACTCACATCTTTGCATAAACCATGTTTTAGCTAGTCTGACTGTATCAAAGAAGTTTATAAATTCATAATCGTTCAAAATGGATTTTGGTCCAGACACGTTCCAGAAAATAAAGTTTACAGACCCAGTCAACAAGGTGGAATTTGTAGGTGAACCTGCATGAAACACCCTACTATCAACTTTGCCCTGGCCATCCCCGTATCTTGTGTTTGTTTTCTCTCTCGTGCTGGGGCAGAGTGATCGCGGCTGATAGTCAATTCTGTTTTCTTCCCCGTGCTTTCGATTAGCGTTCTTCCTTGTTCCACCATGGTTTGGTCTGATATTACTTTTCTGGGCGTGTGCAGGACTATCTCTTCTCTATATGTCACGTTTAATGTCCTCGGCAATTAGTCCTACATTGAAGAAAAACCTTTTATTATGATTTCCAGCGCGTAATCTGTTTTTACAATGTTTGGCGTGGATTATCAGCCCTTATAGACAGTCTGTGTGCAAGTTCAATATCTCTTGACACTAGCTGGGGACGTTGACTTTCCTTATTTCTAGCCCTGTTAATAATATCTAACACCTTTCCCCTGCATGTATCACTGCATGCATGCATTCACTATCTCCTTCAGAAACATCATAAAGAATAAAATTGTTTCTTCTACTAGGTCGTTCCTGACTTTCAACTCTTTCCTCCAAACAACGTCTTTAACAACGTCTCATAACCATCAATATCATCTATTCAGACACAGCATCAATATCATGCCTTAAGATTGCCTGTTCTTCTTTGTTCTTGATTGTCTGTATTTCAGCTTTAACAGGTGCAATATTTATAGTTAATCTAGCTTCCGATGCCTTTATCTGTTCAATTATTGCATACTTCAACTCATCAAAGCTATCTCCTGTCGGTCCAAGATTAATTTTGATATCTCGAGAGAGATAAATAAGTGTCACAAGAGGTTGTCGGCTAAATTCGAAGGTATTGTTCGGATTTCTGTATGTAAACAATGTCGATTGTTTGTATACATGTTCACAAATTTCACCATCTGAGCACAAAGATGCTGTAGTGTATCCCAAATACCAGATTATGAGAAGTGGTGCTGTACACATCAGACATCAGACGGTAGTCCATGTCAGTTCTAGCTGTCCACTCCATCGTGGCCCACACTAGTACTGGCACCTGCATGCTTCTATGGATATCCCCATTCTGTGATGTCAATGTTTTGACGGATATTTGCCTCAGATTTTATTGTCACAGGTCATTTGAATCAACACCCGATTACTCTAGCGCATGCGCCATGTTCTCTATTGTTGACAAAAACAACCTTCGTCAGTTATTTAAATATGGACCACAATATCCCGAGCAACCTCCTGCCAATTGGGATCACAACTATAAAATTATTATGGATGCTGTCGATGCATGTTGGCCCAAAGAGAAGAGGAATGTCTTTCCGAGTGGTTAAGTCAGTGCATGATGTTGTTATTGGTAGAATGCATAAATTTAAACAGAGGAAACGGAATTGGAATGTACCCATTCTGTCCCAGCCAGCTGCCATCCCAAGTTTGTTGTTGTTTCTACTGACAAGGCATAAAAAAACATAACCATTATACGGATGCATGTAGAATACTCCATCATTTGCATAAAACCAATATAACCACCAAGTATCAATATTTATCTCTTAAATGACATGCTTGGGTGAGTTTAGACATCAATGTTGATTGTTATTTTCTGAATCTACTTATCCACCTGACAATAAGTTTCGTTTTCATTCATGTACATACTTGTTGGAAACAAGTTTGACGTATATGAGGTCATCTCAAAATTAACCCTAACCAGTTGTTTCACAAGAAGTCGACAAGTTATCTCCCTCGTAGTTTATTTGCGGACATTCAATATAACCACTAAATACCAATATTTGGATATCAATCTGAAACTTTTGATCCACTGCTCATTCCGTTACATGACTGTGTGATTGATGAACATTATTACGTGATGAACAGTGGAAAACATGTCATGGTGAATGCTGGAGCGTGACGTTGCAGAGTCATTATATACATGAACCTCGAAAGTCTCTGGTTTGTCAGAGTCTGGTAATTGTTGACTGGTAACTATTGATACAGCTTGTACCATGTTATTCCCCACACACAGCACAGCAGGTGATACCATATTTCCGACAAGTGCATCTTTGTGTGATATAGTCTTTTTTTTAAAATACAGCAGGTACTATCAAGGAGTGCTGAAGGTGCTGCAGGCTGATCTGACTGTATTGGTAAGCAACGTCAATCTACCATGTGCCATCCCCACTCAAATGGAATCACGCTGAACATAGCAGATTGACAGAACATGGTATCGGAGCAATTCGACCCTGTTGCGTGATCTTTTAATAGCAGTATAATGTGAGTTACCAGCATAGGAGGGATCTCCCTCTACCATGTGCTACATCGTTGCTGTCCGATGTCAGTCAAAGCTTCAGCTCACAAAAAGCATTGTTTCTACCCATACGGGTCTAGGTTCAAAAGTCTACCACACGTAGCAGCGGTAGGTAGGGCTGACAGTTGACCTTCCATGTATTACGTGCTCTTTATTCTTTCAGATCTGAAGATCAGGATGGCTGAACCGGTGGAAGAGGTACATGTTGATAATCGTGATGTTAATGCCGGTGAACAAGGGTGTAATGCACCCCGTCTACCACGCATTGGTGGAATTTGTTTCAGAAAGAGATGCCCAACAAACGGATTACTACTGCTGTTAGGCCAAAACTCGACTTACCAGGATGGGAGTCGTAATACATGTTGAGAGACCCACTCTGTGGGAAAGTCAAGTGGCAATAACTGCAAATCTCTAGGTGAAATAAGAGTCTGTCTTGATCTTAGACACCTCAATCAGGCCTTTATGTCGAGAACACTTCACATTACCAATCCTGGAAGATTCTCTTAATTAGTTGGGCCAAAAACGCGTATCTAAGATCAGGCTACTGACACGTACAGCTTGACAAGGAATCTAGTATATTGACGGCATTTCAAACCTGTATAGAAGGTTTTGTAATGAGAGACTTCCGTTCGGAACATCCACATATTTTGAGATATTTCAGAAGAAGCTCATAGAGAGCGTTGGTGGCCTGCATGGAATTCTGTGCCACACATGGTAGGGGCAAGCGAAATAAGCGACAAGCTAAGTCATTTGCTTTGGTTACTCTGACTCGAAGTCTTGACCATTATGCATACAATCCATGGCATTGATAAAAAAAACCCATGTATATGTATCCGAATGTGGCATCTTAAGTGGGAGATGTGTTTTCTTGTATCAGTTATTGCAAATATATATGCAGTCTGGACCAAGGTAAATCGAGATGCCATATTATTATTATTAGGGATATGATCTCTCCATGTCGCGAATCGGCGGATAAATTTATCAGTTCAGATGGTTACAGGTTCTTGTGTCCTGTCTGATGCCAATTCATGAAAATTATTTATCCAAAACAACAATTGTTAATTATATTATGTGTCCTGGTCAGCGACCAGCTATCCCCGAGGACGAATTATCGTCACACCCGTTATAGCTCAAGTGATCGCCACTCATTTACTTCTGTTGTTCTATTTATTAGAAGAAAGAAGTATTTGTCCTGCAATGATAAGCAAAATAGACCCTTGTTTTGTAAAATATAAAAATGCCAGATATGCACCTTAGAACACACTCCCAGTTGTGTCAACTCTGCACAAAAAATATCCACCAAAATGATGCACACTTAGTTCAGTCATTACTCACACTCTTTCTGTGATGTCTTCCCTCCAAAACGATTTTAATATTTAAAGGTAGCATTTTTTTTCAAATTTCATAACCTAAATATATATCTCGAAATCGATATATAAGCATGAGTAAATTGAACATTGGTTTCTGTCTGTTGGCGTCATAAAAGAAATCGATGGAAACGTTTCCACAGACAGAAATAAGGGCATATATTTATAGTTTTACAAAAATCAATGTTATTGATAATAATGGTACAATCAACTTTATACACAGAAAGGTTCAGAAAAAACTGGGAAAAATTGGCGATGACAGGTACTCTATTTAGTTCCACTACTTCTGACAAATACCTGAAATATATTTATCGTCAAGTACTGAACATACCTTTCACTTTTTAGGTAAGGAAATCATGAAATATGGGACGTCGAAACACAGACTAACACTAAAGAGGATTTAAACGTCACAGAAGAGGAAGTTTCTGACTTACATGTGGAAGCACAGGACCAGAGCACAGCGCCCCTTGGAAGGAACTGCAGTAAGACAGTGACAGTGAAGTTCATGTATGTTGAGGACAAAGATTCCTTCAATCAATCGTCTAAATCAAACAACAAAGTAGAAGCTGCAGAAAAGAATCGGGGGGAAACAAACGATTCATGCTTAACATGCTCATTTCACAATTTGTCAGGATACAATCCTTGTCATAAATGTGGGAAAATGAAAATCATTGTGAATCATGTGAACATCATAACCTGAGTCTGACCTTTATTTGTGACTGGTATGGAGAGTTAGTTGGGAGCTCACAGAAATAATTTGAACATGAAGAAATTTATTCTGATTCTGAATATGTGTCCGGCCACACGGATATAAATTATTTGGTGAACCCGTTGACCAAGTACAAAACAAACTTGCACAATAGGGTGACCCAAAGTTCACAGGTGACCTCTTCACGCACCTGACCTCTTCACATCTTCACACCTGATGGACTTA